ACAATGTAGAATGGGGTGCCAGAGACTGCAGGGAGAAGGAAGCTATGAGAACCTTTCCTTCCATGAACTACCTTAAGCTAACTTATCTTAGGGTTCAAGGCCATGCAATGCAAAGCAGCTAGAATAAAGTAAGAGACAATGAATGTTGAGAACGTAAGAACAAAACAAATGACTAGACGAAATATGCAAGACCCATCTCATCAGGGCTTTCAGGGAATGGAGATATTTTTCAAATATGTTTTGTCCCATATCTATAACCAAAACTCTGAAGGAGTTTCTACAAGATGATTCAGTTGCTCAGTGAAAATACATTGTGGTTAAACTACCATTACCCATGTGACCATTCTGCCATCTAGCTTCCAAAGACATGAACAGAAAGCAGTGGAGTGGTTCTTTTGAAAGCACTGCTCATTTAGTTAGAATCTAAACATGCACCTAGTTTCCTGCTGGAGATGAGTGGTCCTAACTTCTTCTTTTAATTGACCTATCAGCCCAGTTACAAGCAGTGTTGAGGACAGTATTTCAACTACAGTCACACATGTAAATACATTCATGTACCCTCAAATGGGATCTCTCAAATTTTGTACCAATACATTGCCTCTTATCACAGCCATTTGCAAGATTATCAGTACTTACAGTCAACTCAGTGGTGTAGCATGGGGGGTGCAGGGGGGGCCGGCCGCACCGGGCGCAACATCTGGGGTTAGGGCAAATCCACAGGTTAGGGGGCGCAAATCCACGGGTTAGGGGGCGCAAATCCACGGGTTAGGGGGCGCAAATTACTTGCCTTGCCCCGGGTGCTGACAACCCACGCTACGCCACTGAGTCAACTACACAACTATTCAGGCACAGAGACTGCAAACCAATGTGCAAGACCAGGATGCGGGTTCTTAACCCTTTTGGCTCATGAAATTGCTCTGCAGAAAGAGGAAGATTTACCCTTATGGGCAAAGAGCACTGAGAAGGGGGAAAGATAACAGGTATGTTTTCCCCCTTAACGTAAGATTTAAGAGCAACACAAGCAAAAAAAGCAAAAAGCGGGAATGGTTAAGAATCCCCTCCCCCGCCGCACATCTTTTGCTTTAGTTTACAGCCTCTGCAGCTGCACTCTGTAAAGCAGATAGCGTCACACGTAGTTTGCCCCAGATAAGCAGCTGCTTTCTCAAAAGCCTGCATAGTGAACAACTGGCCCCACTTCAGATAAAACCCCCTATTCATATTTGCCTTGGCTTCCCCCCATTTTTGTAGCACTTAGGCAGCTATGTGTCCTGCTCCCCTGAGGATCAGTGAAAGCAACAGCATAATATAATTAATTATAACAGTTAAAACATGATTGCTAATCAATATGCTGAGATGCTCTGGAGGCAGAAACAGAGAAACAATGATTTATGTCTCGTATTTACAGATCGCCATTCCACTGTGATGAGTGCCCACTTAAACAACTATGCTTGAAAGGAACCTGTCTGCAGGAGGCAATAATTTCCATGTGTAAGATATGGAACATAGGAAGCTACTTTATACTGGGTCAGCTCAATATTGTCTACACTGACTTGCAGCCACTCTCCAGGGTACTCTTGGACTAGGTACTCGCCAAGCCCTGCTTGGAAATGCCAGAGATTGAACAGGGGGTATTCTGCATGAAAATCAGGTGCCTTACCACTGAGCCTCCGCTGAAATGAAAAGGTCAATATGAATGCAGACATACAGAAGTCAGAAATATGATAGCACAAGCAAAATAAATACACACCGTTCAGGGCTATAGGCAAACAGTGTGGTGACTGATAGGGGATAGGAGGCAAAGTGATAGATTCTGCTCATCATTTCAGTGTGTGTGTGTGTGTGTGTGTGTGTGTGTGTCCATCATATTTCCAAGCACATTCCCAACAATTAATGGGTATCTCATGAATTTGTTCCACCTAAAGTGCTTATTATACACATCCAAGATTTTGGACATGGCTCAAGATCTTTGATAGAGCACACAACTCCTTCTCCCGTGCGTCAGTTCCATTTATACGTAAATGACTAACAACACAGAGTACTTTATTTTGCTTTTCCAAAGACTCTTCGATGCAGCTGGGATCGCATCAGCGACATGAAACAATGTCAAACATTGTGCTCAGATCTTTCAGCTCTACTGCAGGGCTTAAAAAAACCAAAAAACTCCTCGTGTGCAATTTTTGGGAACCACTCAGCATCATCCTACAGGGTCCTTGTGATATGCAACAATAGTAACTCCACATTCCTTTAAATGAATAAATATGTCTGGGTCTAGTGACAACACCTGAAAATGTTTGAAAAAGCCCACGGGGCACAGGCTTTTTAATCACACCCCAAGCGAGCAGATTGTAATTACCAGGGAGATTCATTCAAACCATTAAATGGAACTGGTCTATGTCTACATTTATCAGCCTCTGTAATAGGCATACTACTCAGCACATAGCTTGATGGACCTGCTGAAAAAACCCACCTATTCAGGATTTCTGAGACATGTTCTGTAGGAGATTGGATCCATGCACAACTAAGTTGTATTTCAGATATTTAATCCAATTGCATCCTGTCTTTCCACCTCTCTCACAATAGGATTCTAACACACCTTATTTTTGATCCTTATCCTAAAACTAATCGCTAGATAGATCTTGACTAAGGTGCAGAGCTAGGGTCTTCTGTGTGTTGTGGAGGGTGGGGGTGATTAAAGAAAGCAATCCTTCTGTCAGACTGGGAATATCTCCTCACTCACCCAGTTTAGGATATCCCACCATTCTTCAGCAGAGTTTCTTTTCTTTCAGCAAAGTAAGCATCTTACGTATATGTCAAACAAAGCTTCAACAGTACAGAAAACTGTAACGCAATTACATACTGAGAGAAACTAAAAACAACATCATGAGGCGAGAATGACTGAATTTAACTGAACACCCGAAGGCAGGGGCCGATTCCAGAGCACAGCACAAAAGCCCCACCCACCAGATGCCATACATTTTACTAATCAAATTAGGCCCCAGTGTTTTTCTTACACTGCAGTCATGGTAAGCAACATGCATTTGGCCAGCTTGTACACATTTAAGGGTTTATTCAGAAAAATCAGCTTATCGTGCATCTTTGATGACTTTTCAAAGTAATCTCAGTAAGCATAAGGTCCAGTAATGGAAATGTTCATCTATGAAGCCATGCAATGGGGGGCGGGGAGCCAGAAAGGCTTTGCAATGATAGTTGCAAGCACCACTGATGTGGCACCAGAGTGATGTTCAAATAGCATTTAAAGGGTGTGGTTATCAAAGTAGATTTAGCTCCAAAACAAGGAATGTAGGGAGAGGTTTGGAAGCACTTTGGAGGGGCAAACAGATGAGTCCTGCCTTCACTTCTGCAGCAAAGCAGGGGCTTGGAATTGGTCCCAAAATGGTAAAGTTCCAAAATGGCCTATGTTCATACTGAAGAACATGCAATATTTTATACAGTATTTAAAGAATCAAAAAGAGGCTTTGTTGGTACATAATTTTAAAAGCCTCCAAAATCCAATTGGGCAAAGCTTTATTGGAACCAACCAATATGTCACAGAAGTGGGGCAAGCTTTAGAGTTCTCTTGGACTCTTTCATTAGGCAAGGCAGTACATGAATTACAGGATGATGAGGAAAAATAAAATAGCAAAATCAGATTGATGTGTGTGGTCTATGCAAATAAATACCTGGTGCTTGGCCTTTTTAAAAGGAACAGCTAAAACCCAGGAGGCCAGTTCCTGGAGATGTGTGGCCTGACTGGAGAAGTTAATTACTATCTGTGTAGGCTCTCAGGCCTTGTCAAGAATAAAGTTTTATTTCTTTTTTTAAACACACATTATTATGAATTCATGTGTGAACAGAAAAAGACAATACAGTGCAGTAACAATTAAGTCAGCATGTTTAAATTAAAGACTGTCGCATTTATCCTCACTCTGCTCTGTTTACCCCAGAAATGTGCTTTGTTTGAGTCTGGGAGAGATCTGGCTACAAGTTTTATTTTATCTGATATGGGGAGCAGCCATTGCTTCTTTATCCCAGGATCCTGAGTGTATAACCTGATATATGTAGCACATGGGAAAGACTTATTCAGCCTGCAGTCTCCATCTTGGAACTGAGTCTCCAGGAATTAAGCTCTTTCCCAGTCTGAATCTCTACAGGAATTGTATTTGATATGTTTGTATTGTTTTGTCATCTGTTGCTTGCCACCCTAGGTGCCTTTTGAAGGTAGGGCAAGATATAAATTAAATAACTTTCCATACTATTTTAGTTTTTCCATGTGGGACACCTTGCCAGATAAAGAGTTCTGAAGAATTTGGAAGCTTGCCATGCTCCAATGGTATTGTAGTATTGGTGGGGACTGTAACTCTGTGAGGGGCAAACTACAGTGCCCAGAATTCTCTGTGGGGAGAAATGTGCTTCAAATGTGCTTTAAACATAGAGGGTATATATAAAGTCACACACCATTCCACATACAGCGACCAACGGAATTGGCAAGTGCATCTTACTTCAACACGGACAACAGGACAGTTTCTTTCACTGCATCTGAGGATGGCAGGCTAGTTTACAGGGCAGACTATGGGGCTCAAACAACTGAGATCTGCGGGTAGAAGCCGGTATAGAAATCCAATAAATGACAACTCCTCTGTCTTCCAATGGAGAGGAATGGCTGGGAACCCATCACATGCTCAGCCCAAGGCACTCACCTCACTGGTATGGCCTGACCTGTCAGCATTTTATAGTTAATCTTTAAGAAAAGCTTTTATCTGATTTGTGTCGCTGTTATAAAAAATCAGCTTCTCAGATTTTATACACAGATATATATAGATACACACACACACACACACACACACCTTTATGACTAGCAAAGGACACAGACAACTATGTGTGTGACTACAAAAGAGCAGTTAGTTAAATAGTAATTTCCTGTCAGTACTGGGACTAAAAAGGACTTTCAGTACTGCATAGAGAAATTGGTTCTTTTGTATAGCAAGTGATTTACACTTTCCCATTTATGCAAATTTTATTGATACTTTGGTGGTTGCTTTACACACAGAGAGAGGATTAGCAGCCTTGGTCACTAGTAAATATTACATAGGAGCTCCTCTGCCCAGACAGTGCAAAAACACAAGTCATTTGGTGTCTTTCTGCTCATCAGCTGGAAGCCACCCTTTGGGTTAGATCTGTCTGACAGATGTTACATCCAAAATGTGCACATACAGATGTGTATGTGGGTGCAACTGCACAATACGGAAACATGGCAGATTCTGTGATGCACAACATTGCTTAGTGTGCATACATTAGCAAAATGCAGCTATTAGATGACTGGCCTTTAAGAAAAGGAAACCTTGGCGCTGGGCTTTGGGAAGAGAAGGCACAAAGCACTGGCTGGAAAAGTGCTAACAAGGGATTGGGAAGGAGGCAGGATCCTGTCAGAGTCCTCACACCTCCTTCCCCAAGCCCAGCACCTTGCTTACTTGGCTTTGGGAAGGCAGTGCAAGGGCTGGGGAGAGTGTCAAATGTTGCTGAGGGCTACCAAAAAAAGACCCCAAGGGCTGCATGTGGCCCTTGGGATGCATGTGGGACCACCTTGAACTAACCTAACAATTGAGAGATCAAAAGGTCCATCTCTAGATAAGAATCTTTACTTAGTGCTTGGCTTTCATTCCCGATTAATGAGATGCTGGAAGGAAGAGACAAATCCTCAGCAATATCAGAACCATTTGCCCTTTATTGACACTGATGGGTTACTGTGCCTTATTGGTCTTGCTTGGTATTTTCATTGTTATTGATTTGATCTGCCTTGACAATTTGTTTTGTAGCATTTCTCATCTCTTCCAAAAAGCATCTGTAATTGTTTCAATATTGGATTTAAACTTAATATAAGGAAAATAACTACAATAGTAAGAAACCTTTCCCCCAATAACATTAAGAAGCAATGTGACCCAAGCACATTATCATGCCATTGCTTTCCCTCTTATTGCCATTTCTACAATGAGAGGAGTCAATTTTTCAATTTAAGGGCCATATTCCTCCTAAACCACAGCAATGGTTTATATAGCCCTCCTGTAATTATGATTTAAGGAAATACTAACCATTAAAAAAATAGTCTTACCATTCTATCGCTTTTATTTGGCGAAAGAGTGGCTGTAAATCCAGATGGACATGTCACAGCTAATGAAAGTTACTAGCTGCTGGTGATTTTATGAGAGATTAAAAACAAAGTTGTCCACAGAAGTCTCACATCCAAGACTCATTGCACAGTCAACATCCTGTTTCTTTCCAAAGACTTGGGTGGATTGAACAAAAAAGATTTCACTTACACTAGGGAACATGGTTGAATTATAATTTTTCCATCAATGATTGGGAAGTGCTTGCCCAAGTAAATTGGCTGTTTCTCTGCACAGGTGGTCAGTCAACACTGGATTGTAGAACTGGACCTGGTAAACAACTCTGGAGAGTCCTTACATAAGAGTGGGGAAACGTCATTGATTTCAGGCAGGGAACAATCAGAGCTGATGAAACCTAGGGATGTGTTAACTCATTCCCACTTTGAGAAACAGAATCTGCCCAAGAAATAGGATCTGTTGGGTGAAAAAGCTGTCCTTCCCTACAGGTAAGCTGGAATGGGGATTTCTCCCTCAAGTTCTAGATATGCTCCTAGATCTCCCCAATGAACAATTTCTAAACCAACTGTGGTGATGGTGGGGGAACAGGTTTCTGTCTTCTCAATCAACACTACTGATCTGGAAACAATCAACTGTTCCAGAAGCATTTGGCCCTCTTGCTGCAAGAGTGAGAGAGAAATGGTACTTCGATGAGGCACAGAGAGGTGAAGTTATGACATGCTGGCAAATCAGACTTGCTGCCTGAGCAGGACTTAACCCTGATGACACCAGCAGCCAAAATGCAGTTTTCAGCCACTGTACAGAGGCTAGGTTGAACAGGTTTTGCCATCACACAGGAAAAGAAACATCTAGAGATACCAGAAGCTTGAAAACCTTATCTCAAGCATAGGAAAAATGCAACTAAAGAGGGCGCATATTGCCACATGTTCATTTATCACTTTAGTACTGTTTCATTTGCATGCAAATGTATGCAGCTTTAAATTGAGATTTCTTTACTTTGGCAGCTCTCTCATAGTCCTATTTGGTAACTAACCTCTGCCCTTATGCAAGAGAAACACTGAGTTTTGTAAACATCCAGACACACTTACTCTTAGTTGTAGTTTCCAGACTGCTGCCCCCTCTTCTCATACTTATAAGCAGCAACTGATTTCGCAAAGCTGCTGCTATATCAGAGCACCCATGCACAACTTTCTTCCAGGTGGATTCTGAACTTATTTTGTAATCAGATAAAATAACGATCACCTGTGTGATCACACCCAAGTTGCTCACCTATTGTGCCTGCAAAAAAATAATTTCAGAAGCTCATCTGCTCACCTGCACATGCTTTTCCATCCACAACATTAACAATGAAGTAGTGACAAAATCAGAAAAAAGCTTTTAGTACGTATATTTAGCTGCCTTTATAATACAGACTTCTCCCCATGATTTATTGAGTAACTATATAAAAAGTTTTGCAGCAGCAGCAGAATTAATACAACCTGTGCAACAACAATAAGGGTCAGGCTTTTTGGCAACTTCACATAATTAGCTCAGATGTCACTTTAAAGGGGCAAGTGTAAAGTTGTGAAAAGATCACTCATTTCACTTGCTTTAATCCCACACACCCCTGCTCTTAGCAAAATAGTATTGAGTGTTCAAATGCAACTCTTGAAATTACAAATACAGCAATAACTCATTACAGAAAGGGAAGGAAAACCCAGCATAGTTAAATAGCAAAGTGCTTCTGTATGGCACAATCCCCAGGACTCTGCTGCACAAGGGCCTTAGATTTGCATAATTACAATTAATTTCAATTGAGTGTGTGCAGAGTTAGTTACTCATGGATGGTCCTCTCAGACTTCAAATGAGACTGAATGGAAAATCACTAGATTTCAGTGTGGGCCCTCACAATATTTTTTTTTTTAAAAGAAACAAATTCCCTTGTTAAACACTGAAAGAGTAAAAATGCACCAATTTCTACAGATTCAATACATGTTTACAAACTCACTGCAACACCACAAATAGAATGTTCAAGTTTTTTAGGGGGGGAGGGGGGAGCAAGTCTAGTACTTGGCAGACAGGATGGAATTACTTCAATTTCTCAATATTAGAAAGATGCCTTGTCCGTTTACCCCGAATAAGCTGTTGGAATGAAGGAGGAAATAAATTGGAAATACAGCGTGCCAGAATATAACCACTAATGCTCTGAAATTATAGGCTCAATTCAGGAATACTGCAACGATGACTCAAACACCAACTCACTACTGTGTCTTTGTTTCTGAATGACTAAGTCCTTATAGCGTCCATCCAATATGTTGGCAAAATAGTAGCATCATAACCTACTTTAATACAGTTGTGTGCAAATTTCAGAGACCAGAGAGACCTCAGTATGTCTTAACTTTCCCTTTTAAAAGAATGGCTAAAGGCTTAAGCCTTTATTAGGAGCACCAAAACTGAAGTCACATAGGAGAGGCAGGTAACTTTGGTTGAACTTCAATCAGAACTAGCCACTGCATAAGACTGAGGAAGAGTCCATAGAGAGAGTGCCAACATTGGGAGCAACATCAGGAGAGAAATTCAGAGTGATCATACTGCTGATAAGAAGATTTGCTGGCAATACTTTTAGCACGGACAGTTGCTTTCAAGAATTGTCCCTTTCAGTATACATGGATTCATTGAACTTCATAATTTTTCAAACCAAGTTTTGCACTTTCAAAAAGGCTATTATGTGAGTGGAAAAGCTTATTGGATCAAGATGTCTTCTCATTCATCCAGTCCTCTACCCTTAGTGGTAAATGTCTTGTTAATTCCGCAGCCTGTATGTACAGTTCCTAAAGATCACAATAAGCAGCATCTTTCTTTAAAGCTCTTCTTGTTCTTGCTGCTCTTCTTGCCATTCTTGTCTTTGTTTTCCGACATCTTCTTGGCTCTAATCTCTCTCATTAGATCAAAGAATACCTAAAATGAAAAACTGCACATTAATATCAGAATTTTTTTTAGCATATAGGGATTCAGCCTATAATAACAATAATATACAATATGTTGTTTGCTTTATAAGAAAAGTTAAAATTACCACAGGAATAGACCTTTTTACCGTTGTTTTAGATAGATTTAAAATCTAAACACAAGAACACAATGGAAATAGATACAACAGGTATCTACAGAATATTACATTTTGTCGATAATGAAGCATTTTAATGACTAGTAAATCAACACTCTTTTTTATTACTTTTGCATAAAGATCCAAATTTAGTGCAGAATACATGGATTACGGTGGAATCTAGAAGAATTCTATAGGAACATTTTCCTATGGACACACGAAAAGTTTAAATGGAGACCTAGTCTTTATGCATACTAACATAAAGCTTAATGACACATATTTAAGATGAAGAACTTGGAATTCAATCTTAGTGAATCTTAGTCAATCTTCTGAATCTGTTGACAAGATTTTCAAACCACAATGTAAAGAGAGCTCAGGTCGCTGAGAAAATCTGCATTCAGTCAGTATAACTGTCCACCAAGAAATGAGATCTGAAGCACAGATTATATTGCAATAACCCCCAATGCACTTTTTAAAGAAGGTTTGGTGATCAAGAGCAACTGAGAAGGCTACCTTTGGAAGGCATTTAGCAAGGTTGCAAGGAAACCAGTACTTCTCAATTAAACTCATGCCAAGTCATTATATGCCATGAATATACTACAAGATGTGTTCAGCATGGTCATACTAATATTCATTTAACCCAGCCACATAACACAATTTGTAGTCGGAGCATAATTTAAGAGGAAAACCAGCAGCCAAGACAGGAATCCTGTATTCTCACATAAAAGCAGCAAGTTTCCTTGCTATCCAAATGGGAACCCTATAGTTCTTAAACACGACTCCCCTCAAATTCTCCATAATAAAAGGAGTCCTCAAAGGGCAGAAGTTTCTTGCTTTGTATTTATCCACAACTGCAAGTCAGTAACCACATTTACAAGGCTGCTGCCCAAAACCAACTGAGTACTTTACCTTATCTACATTTGCTCTGGTTTTTGCTGATGTCTCTACATATTGCACTCCCCACTCGTCTGCTTTACTTCTAGCCGCTTCTACAGGCACTTGCCGACGGTCTTCCAAGTCGGATTTATTTCCCACCACAAGTAAAGGTATCTTGTCCTCTTCAGCTTTTACACGCAGGATCTGCTCCCTAATAAAAAATATTAAACACAAGCAACTGAGGTGGCTATCATAGCAATTTCCCAGTAGTCTAAAACTATGGAAAATGTACACCAATTTATTATTTCACATGCCAAGAAATGATGGGAGCATTTCTGAAATAAATAGAGGTTTAAAGTTCTTTGCTCAACTAAAACTACAAAAGGAATGTGTCTCAAGGAAGTTGACAGATATAGTGTGAGCCTGGGGACAAAGGCCAAGAAAAGTTTGATAAGTTTACCCAGAGGTTATGATAGACATCTTCAACTATATGAAGAGCTGCCACACAGAGATGAAGAAAATTTGCTTTTGTTCGCTCCAGAGAGTAGGACATGAACCAATGGGTTCAAATGACAAATGAAAGGGATAAAGACTAAGCATTAGGAATAACCTACTGATGGTACAAGCTGTTCCAACAGTGGAACAGACTTCCTTGAAGGTTGGTGTAATTTTCTTCGTTAGACATTTTTCAGAGAAGGCTCAATAGCAAACAAACAGGGATACCGTAATAGTGTGTTTCCTGCATTGGCAGAGGTTGGACTGGATGACCTCTGAGGTCCCTTCCAAAACTAAGATTCTGCTGCAAACATTCACCCCAAGAAACAGCTAAACATACTTAACACAAATATTGCTAATGTTCATCCATAGCCTTTATACCTTCAGATGTGCTCAATATTTTCCTGTTCCAACTGCAGGAACAAAATATTAAGAAAGTGAAGCACAACACTTAAAATGTTGTCCCTGGGAGGCAAGGCAGGGCAGGGCAAAAAAGATTATTTTACCCTTCAGTGGCAAAAAGTAAGGAAACGTCTGTGTTACCTGGGTCGAATGATTTCCACCCAGGTAACCACCTCGATTTCACTATTAGTTACACTTGTAAAATGATGTTCACTTTGGCATATTATTCAGTTCATTGGACCATATTCCTTTTTTGGCACACAGTATATGCACCACACACAAAGCCTACAGAAAATGCCTAGATATCACTACTTACCTAAACTCTGCTGTTGCTGTAAAGGATTCATGCTCAGTTATGGAGAAAACTAGGAGAAAACCCTCTCCACTACGGAAGTAATTGTCTCGAATAGCTGCATAATCTTCTTGTCCAGCTGTATCCAAAATATCGATCTGTACTTCCTCACCATCCAAAACTACTTTCTTTCTGTAACTATCAGCCTTCGTAGGTTCATAGTCTTCAACAAACTAAGAGTTATAAAAGGAGTAATTAACTGTAGAGTACCCATACTCAGCTTCTGATACCTGATTTTTGTCAGCTTCAGACCATATGCCAATAAGGATTCCTTCAGCCCATATGCCAAGAAGACTAGATATCAAAGACCAATATGGATGGGTTATCAAATTATCAGTAGTGACTTCTGGGAACAATGTAGCAAAATAGTTTACCTTACAAGTCACCTTATATTGGTGTTCTTCAACCTTGGGTTCCCTGATGTTTATGGACTACAATTCCCATCATCCCTGATTACTGGTTAAGGTGACTGGGGATTATGAGATCTACAGTCCAGCATACTTTAGTTGAGATTCCTGCATTGCAGGAAATGCCCCTCAGGGTCCCTTCCAGCTCTACAATCCTATGAACATCTGAGGACCCACATGAACTGTGACCAACATGTAGGTCTCAAGCGAAAGACAAGATACTATTTATACGTCCTCTTAGCAAAATACGTTGGAAACTAACTATCGAATCTTATCATGCTTCTTGGATACAAAGTATTTTCTTTCGTTCTGCTATTTTAAGGCTGCGGTTTTGACTCTGAAGAGCACAGGACGCAAGGCTAAAAATGCCTCCTTCACTATGGAATTAGAGTTGTGCAGTAAGACATAAAGGGTTTATACGACTGGGGCTGGAAAATGAGATTCTCAGCAAAAAGAGATACAACATTTTAAAAATATTTATGTGTTTTTTTGTGATGGGAAAAGGCAACACCATTCCCTGCAAGCTCCCACCCCAGCTTCTGAGATTTCACACTGTTCAAACAATGCCCTGGTCATTTCTATAGATAGAAGTTTTCTTGAGGCGCCAACCCAGTGTCAGATTCTGTGCTTCTGCAGCACAAGCATGGAACCACAGAACACACACAGCTCATTTGATGTACTATTGTTATCATAAAGTATTTATATATAGCACAACAAATTCTCTGGAGTGCTTCAGACAGATAAGAGCAGAACAGCCTACTTGAACCTCCAAGTTTTTGTGTAAGAGGAACTTAATCTCTGAACTAAGCTGTAAATGCAAGAATTCAACAATATAAAATCAGCTGTTTTATTGGCCCTGCTATAGTTAATGGGGTTATAGCTCTTTTAGGAAGAAACTTCAGTTTTGAAGAATAATGTTTTTTTTCCTGTGTTTCTGAACAAATCTACGGCTGTGCTTAGTTATTTCATATTAAGGAAGCAAGGTGCAGATCCAATAATGGTCCACTCCACTGTAATTGAAAATGTACACAAAGATCACAAATCTTACCTCATCATACATAAACTGAAGTGTCAGTGCTGATTTGCCCACACCTCCGCTGCCAACCATGATTACTTTGTGGAGGGCCAGAGAGCTCTGGTTTTTTGCCTTGTTAGCAGCCATTTTTCTGAACTGTTGTCAAGCACCACCAAAGCAGACTGATGAGCTAAAAGGTAAGAAACAGAAAATGTGTTTGGCATGTAAATCAAATTTAGAATCATTGTAGAGATTTATCACAACGCCCTTTGATTAATGCTTTTGCTCTACAGTATTAACAGTGCACACCTTGGTTAGCTACAGTCAGGCATAAACTATGGCTTCCAATGAATGAGCAGTATTGCTGGATACCCTGCTCACCCTGCTCAGCTGTAGCCCTGCCTACAACTGCAACAAACAGGTCATGAGGCTTGGCACACTATGCAAACCAGCATTCCTCTCCCCCAAACAAACCATGAGTGGGAAGCAACAAGCCCTGGTTTATGTTTCTGGTTTGTTTGGAGAAAAACAAGTCACAGGTAATGGATCACATGACATGTGATGCTAATTCAGCCCTTTGGTTTGTTTCTCTTTGCTGCAGCCAAGGCAGAATGAAGCAAGTAAAATTTGAGCAACTCCAACACACAACCCATAACTGTTAAGTGAAGAGACCAAAGGAGAATTTATGAACTATCCCCAATTTTACTGGCCACAACATGACACCGAACCAGAGTGCCACATGAACTAGTCTCAGGTTTGTGTGTTGCCCATTCTCTCTTCTTCGTCTGGCTCATCTACCAGGTGGAGATTGGAAGCAGCCACTTGTTTTCAACCAACTACAATTAATGGCGGGATCCAATGAAGTAGTACCATCAGTTCAAGGACTTCTGGCTGTGTAATGGACCTTCTTCTTCCTCTTTTTGCATGCTGCCAAATCTCTTCTGGGTTATCTCCAACCCTCTGCAGCAGATATGGGGAGGGGCACACAGAGAGAGGGTAGGGAATTTCTGTTGTACAAATGGAAACCCTTGCACCAATGGTACTACTACAATGGATACCACCAAGATGTGTTTCCTAAACAAGGACATACATTTTAGTTTAAAATATCAAACTAGAGCTGTAAAGGTCTGTCAAAAAATAAAACAACCCCATGGAGGACTAAAAGGACACGGTTTGGTAGAGTGCAGCTACTGCATGCTCTCTTCTCTTCATGCACTGACTTATGCCCAATTCAGAATGCCTGAATAGGGCTACCATAGGCTGTGTTTCAGAATGGACCAGAAGCTGTCAAACTCATTTTACACCAAATTTAGCTAGATTGCATGGTATAACCATCTCAGGGAAACAAACCACTGGAGTAAAGCACCCTCTGTGTTGCCCCCACATATCTACAGTATAGACCCTTCCCTCATATCCAGTTTATAGGAACTCAGGATAAACAAGACACCTTTGAGATGATTTCTTATCACTGCTTAAGAAGAATTAACTCTGCATTCACTTAAACCACACATTTCCCTTAACCCAGGCACGTCCAACAGGTAGATCGTGATCTACCAGTAGATCACTGCTAGATTACTGGCTCCCCCCAAAAAATCTCAACAACTTTGACCTGAACCCCAAAAAACAGGGGTAGATCACTGCCAGTTTTTAACTCTGAGTAGATCGCAGTCTCTTGGGAGTTGGCTACCCCTGTAGCCTCTGAACAGGAATTTCCTTGAGACGCCTTACATTTTTAGAAGCTGCTTTGTAGTATGAGGCTTTTTATATAGGCAATGTTTATGTAAATACACCCAAAGAGATGGATATTACATTATTTAAGTACAACTTAAATCAATTTTAAAACAATCAAGTGGCTTCAAGAGTCCATTGCTTTCCATTTCGTTACTTAGCATCTTAAAATAGAATCTGTGAAGTAGGAAGCAAACTACAGTTAAGCAAGCATGCTCAATCATTCTCGTTTTACTTGCCATGCAGCTGGCGTTTACAGACTTTCTCCAGCTACAATGCAACTGAAAGCAGCCATTCTTCAGAGGGCCTTTAGTTTATACAGATACAAACAGAACTCCTTTGTGAAACCCTTCCAGTAACCAACTTCTAAATTATTGGTTGAAATTTTAAACTAAATATATTCTGTATAAATTGCAATACTGTAGTGTGTTGTATTTTGTATCTTCATAGTTCATGTATGGCACAGAAAGATGCGGAGACTATGAAGTCACAAGGTTCAAGTTACATACATTATGGAGATCCAGAGTTAACAACATGTTTAGCAGTTTTACCAAAATATAATAACGTTCTTAAGAGTAATTAAAGACCACTTAAAAAGAGGATCGAGGACCCTAAGTGTTCCAGGGGCAACTTCAACTGTCTGGTAACCCCCTGACCCTGGTTGATCAGCACAAATCAAATCCATGTACAGTGGTACCTCGGGTTACAGACGCTTCAGGTTATAGACTCCGCTAACCCAGAAATAGTACCTCGGGTTAAGAACTTTGCTTCAGGATGAGAACAGAAATTGCATAGTGGTGGCACAGCGGCAGCGGGAGGCCCCATTAGCTAAAGTGGTACCTCAGGTTAAGAAACGTTTCAGGTTAAGAACGGATCTCTGGAACAAATTAAGTTCTTAACCCGAGGTACAACTGTATGAAAGAGAGCTTATAGGCAAGCCTAATTGTTCTAATGTTTCACAATGTCAGTGAATAAGAGGTCTCCCAATAAGCATGTATAGGAGCTCTCCCACCACCAGATCACCATACAATTTTCATATATACAGTGGTACTTCAGGTTAAGTACTTAATTCGTTCTGGAGGTCCGTACTTAACCTGAAACTGCTCTTAACCTGAAGCACCACTTTAGCTAATGGGGCCTCCTGCTGCTGCCATGCCGCCGGAGCACGATTTCTGTTCTCATCCTGAAGCACTATTTCTGGGTTAGCGGAGTCTGTAACCTGAAGCATATGTAACCTGAAGCGTATGTAACCCGAGGTACCACTGTACATTGTTAGAGAATGTGTTGTTATGCCAGGGCAGGTGACAACACTAATAGTCTACTGACTAACTACCAGAAAAGCTGAAGAACTAAACATGTACTAACAAGTGATCGGTTTAGTCACCATGTATTTAAGAACACCGTGTTTGCCACATGAAAGAGAGAGATACAGAGGTGGCCGAGCAGCCTTTAATCATTCAAGAGTACATTTATTCAAGTGAATCATTCAAAGGCAAGCTATAAAACTTGGGCCAGGCTGTAAGTACTGTACTATTAAGTTTAAGTCAAGGGAATGCCATTTATATTATGATTTATATTATGAAGAGATACTTCAGCTGTTCAAATGATTACCTTTTGCTGCTCTTTATATCTAAATAAATTAGACAGCTATTTTTGCTTCTCTCCCCACATCACTTAGCCTTGAACAATAGGTCAGAACATTCAGAAAGCCCAAAGGGTAATGCTTTATATGACAGAAGTGTATTGATAGATTAAATTAGAACAAAGCCTTTGTCTATTCTTATCTCTCGATGTTTAACAGAAAGAATATTTTGCCTTTCAGTATTGGGACTCCAAGCCTGAAGCTTCTTGTGCCTAAGAGTTTAATTGAAAGCTATGTAGAAGATAGCCTCCAATTCAAGCCAAGTCCTTTTAAAAAAATAATAATAATAATGTATGCATTCTGAGCAACAGAGTGCATACATTTCTCAAGCTGATTTTGTTTAAAAATGCAAATTTCTTCCTTAACCTAGATAAAAAATGCTGAGCAATAACCAAGGATACCTGAATCCTCCTACATTAAAAAGCCCACACACAAAATGTTGTTGCCATGGCTACATGCCATCATTCTGCTTTCTTTCTTGGGACCATAATATTATTCACTGAATCTAAAGGAGCATTCTACCCTTTTTGTCGACATAAACAGTCAAGCTTGCTCAGTGACCAAATATAAAAGTTTAGGGAAATACATGCTCTGGGCTCATTAGTGATGCAATCAAAACTGGCATATCAAAGAGGAAAAACTAGTTTATATCAAGTCACCATCAACTCCACAGAGCTCTGATCTTGAAGCAGTGAGTCAAGGATAAGGAAATGCAGTCCGGGCCAAAATAGGCATGCAACATTGTGTTGCAGGCATTCATTTCCCCCTGTTTTCATTAACCTGAGTAACTGTTTTGGAAAGTTCTCAATATTGCTCGGCCACTGACTGGGACAGCCTATTTCTGAGTCTCAAATACTTTGAGTAAATATCCCATGAAGCCTCAAAAAGGTGCAACTACTCATTTAAAAATATATATAAATGAACTAAATAAACAAGTAAAATGTTTATTATACCTTGGTAGGTTAGATGCAATCATCAGGAAGCTGTTAAGTATTTTTGTTGTTGTTTAGACATTTGTTTTAGCAGTACGATAGCAAGTCTAAAACACCGTATTTTTCACTCTATAAGACACACCAGACCATAAGACGCACCTAGTTTTTGGAGGAGGAAAACAAGAAGAAGAAAAATTCTGAATCTCAGAAGCCAGAACAGCAAGAGGGATTGCTACGCAGCAAAAGCAGTGATCCCTCTTCCTGTTCTGGCTTCTAAGATAGCTGCGCAGCCTGCATTCGCTCCATAAGACGCACACATATTTCCCCTTACTTTTGGGAAAAAGTGAGTCTTATAGAGCAAAAAATATGGTACTTTATTATTACGTAAGTAGTTTAAATAGTTTAAATATTTATTTTAAACAGTAAACTGTGTTAATCTATTTTCATCCAGGAATTTGCCATTTTTCCCTCAAAGCATCAGGGAAGGGAGAAACAGCAGCAAAAGAATTGGGAAATCCAAAGCCCTGCCTCTCTCATGTTTGTCAATATAGACATGGCTGGAGGGAAAATAAGTTATGCCTGCTCCAGGATGGCATTTTCCTGCCCCTGCTCCCTACAGTATTCTGGCATCATGTTAGGGGAACAGGAGGGTTTGGATATTCCCACCAGCAGAGGAGCAAGAACAGCAGAGGTTGCCATGCTTCAGACAGGGAAACCTGCAAGAGCAACACTCCCTCTCCTGTCCTGGGATGCTACTCCAGAGACTATAGCAGGGGCTGCAAACCTGGCACCCTCAGGTACACCTGCAGAGGCCTTTCCTGGAACAAACAGAATCCCATCTACTCACTGAAATAAGACCGGAAAGAAGAATTGCCTTGTAGCCAAAATAGTAGGATGCAGTGTGTAACTGGTTGGGTGTTTGTGTGATGCACACCAACATTTTCTCTGGGTTGCAAACATGCACAAGCCCCACAAAAGCTTGGTGATCTCTGGACCATAGAATTCTGTTCTTTTGTTAAATTTATCTGTACTGTTACACCCAGTTTAGCTTCCGAAGCAGTCATTTATGCAAAAGCCTCAGTAGCTATTTTCACATATATACATAATTGTACATTCTCTTCCACCAGTACCTTCAAATCTTGCCTTGGGCAGAAGCCTACATATTTTATCAAAATAAGAGATTAAAAGTTGTCATATTTGTGTGTGCTTAAGAAATAATTTATTCAGACTGACAAGGCTGACTGTTTACATCAAGTTGATAATACAACTGAGACAACTAAGCTTTTTTAAAAACAAAAAACAAATCAAAACCCCAGTTTCTAGTTGCAGCCACGCTAGCAAATATTCGTTAGGCTTCAAAAATAACACTAGAAACATAACACACACAGTGGTACCTTAGGTTAAGTACTTAATTCGTTCTGGAGGTCCGTTCTTAACCTGAAACTGTTCTTAACCTGAAGCACCATTTTGGCTAATGGGGCCTCCTGCTGCCGCCACGCGATTTCTGTCTCATCCTGAAGCAAAGTTCTTAACCCGAGGTACTATTTCTGGGTTAGCGGAGTCTGTAACCTGAAGCATCTGTAACCTGAAGCATCTGTAACCCGAGGTACCACTGTATTTAAAACATTTACTTACAGTCACCAAATGTGATTCTAGGCTTCTAATCCAAGCTTGTGCACTGCTTGTTTACTCCACTAACCTACTAACCTGAATCTCAATCATGTCATGAACCTGCAATATGCATCACACTGAAGGGAAGTGTAGTTCAGATCAAAACACTCCTCTGCATCGGATTGCACATTTATCGTAAGATACAAAGCAAGAACCTATCCAGCAGTCAAAACAACCCACTGCAGACCTTATAACCGTAGGCCAGTTTGGTTCAATGTTCAGTTCAGATTCTTTCTCACTGGCTTAGGTTGAGAGTTTACATCAGGAAGATCCATAGGAAAGGCCACAGCTGTGATGGATGAAGGAGGAAAGGATGTGTTCAGTTTTAAAATTAGTAGTATGTACTGTAATACTCAACCAACCAACATGGGAATTTTGTTGTTGTTGTTGTTTAGTCGTGTCCGACTCTTTGTGACCCCATGGACCAGAGCACGCCAGGCACCTCTGTCCTCCACTACCTCCCGCAGTTTGGTCAAACTCATGCTGGTAACCTCGAAAACACTATCCAACCATCTCGTTCTCTGTCGCCCCCTTCTCCTTGTGCCCTCCATCTTTCCCAACATCAGTGTCTTCTCCAGGGAGTCTTCTCTTCTCATGAGGTGGCCAAAGTACTGGAGCCTCAGCTTCACGATCTGTCCTTCCAGTGAGCACTCAGGGCTGATTTCCTTAAGAATGGATGCGTTTGATCTTCTTGCAGTCCATGGGACTCTCAAGAGTCTTCTCCAGCACCATAATTCAAAAGCATCAATTCTTCGGCGATCAGCCTTCTTTATGGTCCAGCTCTCACTTCGATACATCACTACTGGGAAAACCATGGCTTTAACTATGCGGACCTTTGTTGGCAAGGTGACGTCTCTACTTCTCAAGATGCTGTCTAGGCCTGTCATTGCCCTTCTCCCAAGAAGCAGGCGTCTTTTAATTTTGTGGCTGCTGTCACCATCTGCAGTGATCATGGAGCCCAAGAAAGTAAAATCTCTCACTGCCTCCATTTCTTCCCCTTCTATTTGCCAGGAGGTGATGGGACCAGTGGCCATGATCTAAGTTTTTTTGATGTTGAGCTTCAGACCATATTTTGCGCTCTCCTCTTTCACCCTCATTAAAAGGTTCTTTAATTCCTCCTCACTTTCTGCCATCAAGGTTGTGTCATCTGCATATCTGAGGTTGTTGATATTTCTTCCGGCAATCTTAATTCCAGTTTGGGATTCATCCACCCCAGCCTTTCGCATGATGTATTCTGCATATAAATTAAATAAGCAGGGAGACAAAATACAGCCTTGTCGTACTCCTTTCCCAATTTTGAACCAATCAGTTGTTCCACATCCAGTTCTAACTGTAGCTTCTTGTCCCACATAGAGATTTCTCAGGAGACAGATGAGGTGATCAGGCACTCCATCTAATTGGAAAACATGCCCAGTAACTGCCAATCCATCCTGCACAGTTCTACCAATTTTAAGGTACATTACATTATCATCATACTTTGTAGGCAAAGCTACAGCCAAGGCTACAATATGAAGGGAATGTAAGTAACACACATATCACACAGCACCACCTGATAGAACAGTAGACACAAGCTTGCCATTCGAAAAACGTTTACATTAGCAATTAATGGAATAATTCCTCTACAAGCTGAAACTGTAAATCATTTAAACTTTCAAATTTACTACCAGGAGAAAGGCTGGCACCAGTAGGAAAGAGATTGTTGGCAAGAGATTTGGATTTGTTCTTCTTTTCTTCTACCATGATGCATTCATCTGTTAAATTGAGCAGCAACCTTACAGAAAATAACCTCAACTACAATATCCTTTACAGCTTTTTACAGTGATTTAAAGAAGTGAATTTTCTTAAGCCTGCCAGCTTCAGATTTTTTTAAGAAAAGGAAACTCCACAAATTAGCAAGTATTTGATTAAAAATAATAAGCAGTAGTTAATAACCACTGTCTTTCTGTGCAGCTGCAGAAAGAGTATTAAGTTTCCAATTAACAATGACTCAATGCTTGGCTCCTATCACATGCTCGGTTAAAATCTGCATACACATCATGCCTTTCCGGAGAAGGGCTTTAAATCAGTACAGCAACCCTCAGATTTACAGGCAATCTGTGTCAGCTCCTAATCCAGTGGGAAAGGAAAGTCTTCTCAAGCAGCAGTTTTCACTGGCCTCACAAGCACCCTAACTCAAGCCTGTCTATCCCTTCCTTTACATAGAATCTCTTGTGCTGCTGTCTTCTCCACATAGCTCAAAATCAACATTGTGCATCTAAACAGCCCCAGCTGGGATGCCACAGCAAAAATGTGCCCAGTGAAAGGACTCGCACTGAAGACAGACAGCTACCTTTCCATCACACATGCTTATGGATCTGGCAATGTGACCATAAAAGCAGACCAGTCTTCTCCACCCCAACATTTCAACTTATATTCCATACAAGATTTGACAGCAAGTATTGTTGGGCCTCTGGAAAAGAATAACCAGGGCAAAAAGAGCTGCATCTATAAGCAGCAGCTTCTCAATGTCTTTCACCACATATTCTTATCATTTTTGTCCGAACAAGAGTTTCATGGGACTAAAAATATATATGTACCCAGTATTTCTTAAGAACCCTTACCACAAGGTTTCAGAGCAGGTTACAGCAATATGATAATACAGTATTAAAATCGGTTAGAAGAATTTAAATGGAAAATAAGGTGGGTCCATATAACAGGTGTCAAAAGCCAGGATAGAGCAATAGCAATTCAAGTATTGCCATATCCATGTTACAGCACCCCAATCCATATCTGAAGAACCGGACAAGCCCAAACAATTGACTCAGCTATACTTACAATTTGGCCACATCATATTCATGTTTCGATCGATGTATACAATTATAACCTGGCCAGAGAGGAGGAATTTCAAGTACTCCTGCCCAATTCTATAAATACCCTGCACTCACAAACTCATTAGAACAACCTTGGCAGATCCAAAGTCTGCTCCTGCCTACTGACCTCTCCCAATAACTGAAAGGGGAAATCCTCCTTTCTCACCATTCATAATCCAGACATACTGGTTAATGACCCCTCTTCCCCTACACTCTTTACTTTGTCTCAAAGCGTTCCCAGCTCTACCCCAATGACAACTATACAAAGATCCCTTCTAGCCAACCTTACAGGGTCCACACAGAGGAAGTGGGTAATATTTACAGTTTGTATAGCATTCTATGCAACGTGTGTGTCACAAAATGCAGATGGCGGAGACCTGAAAGTGACCCTGGGATTTCCCAGTTCATGGCACCCCTAACCATGTCTACACAGAAGTTAGTCTCAGTGAATCCAATGGGATCAACTGAGGACTGCAGCCTTAGCCTGTCAGACACTAAACCAGTGGACTTGTGGCCCTCCGCTGCCCTTAACCATTAACCAGGTTCTCTGGGCTTGATGGAAATTGCGTCCAAAAGCAACTGAAAAGTCAAAGGCCTCCCGTCTCTGCATTACACCAACTCTCCACAACGAAGCCATGGAGCTTCCACCTGTTGTCTGCCCCCAGCACATGCTATTTCGAAGGTATCCTGACTCTGAACACACCCCAAGGCATCGTCTGGCTTGAGGTCGAGAAGCCGCACAATCCCGCCCCTCTGCTTCAGCCCAGGCGGACACCATTTCGGTGGCGCCACCAAGGAAAACACTCGGAACTCCACAGAAAAGGGAAGTGCTTAAAAACAGAGCAGCAGCAGCAGCACCTCCATCTCTCCGCCAGAAGCAATCCCCAAACCCCACGGAGAGCTATGCAAAGAGATTGCAAAAGTCTCTCCAGCTGGGGGTAGCTCCCTCCCCCCCCCAACCCCGCGCCACACGCGCAACTTTCCCAGGTCAACAGCTGAGTTTCTCTTCCCCCTGCCACACACATCACACCCTGGAAACAAGGGCACTGAATGAAAAAGAAGCTCAATATCCCCCCTTTCCTTTCGCAATTTGCAGCAGCGGGAGCAACCCAGCCACCCGCCCTTACTTGCTACAACCACCTCTCGCCTCATCCTCCCTGCCTGGGAAGAAAGAGGGGATCCCTTTGGAATATATGCATATAATAATTAAATGACCCCGCCCCCTCACCTCGCTGCTGCTTTTGTTTTTCTCCACCTCCGGAGCAAACGACTCTCCCCTCACCTCCCCGGGCTGGCCACCTCCAGCGCCGCCGCCTCGGTTTTCTTAGTGGGGCGGGTGCCGCTGCCGTGCTGCGCGCGTTCCACACCCGCACGCCCTCGCGCGCTCCCTCTCCCAGTAAGACCGCCCCAATCAATGAAAGCGCGGCTCCGCGCTAGCCACACACGCCCACACACCAGCCAGCGAGCGCGAGCGCCAGACCTTCCTGAGCGCGCGCGCGCGCGATTCCACCCCACCCCCGCCATTACCACCACGGAACAAGCAAATCGACTTCCAGCGAACGCCGCATCTCCAGCGTGTGGGTGTTCCTTTAAAAAAAAGGAAGGGGAGGAGGAATCCCGCCCCGCCCCTACCCTCGCGTTCACGCCCACGTCCTTCCCACGCGCATCCTCGTATCACCTCCAGGATCCGTCCGTACAAGGGACGGGGCGGGACGTTGGTGGCGGTCACGTGCAACGCACTGTCCAATCGGAGGCGGAAGAGGACGTTTTCACACACTCACATGATTCGTTTAAAACGAGGAGAACGGAGTGGGAGAGGAAGAAGTCAGGGGTGATGTACCCCCCCCGTCATTAAGTTGGAGCATTCCCCCAACTCACCCTTCTGACTTATTTATTGTAAGCCACGCGTAGAGCTGCGTGCACAATGCTGCGAAATAAAGAAATGGAATAAATGGGCATGGCAACTTCTATTAATAAGTGCCGATCGAGTTTGAATTAATGCAATGGGAGGTTTTTCAATATCTGCAACGGTTTTCACTCTTATCTCAAGCCTTTAAGGCGATATGTCGTAATACGCGTTTCCTGGGCGCCTTGAAAAGGGATGTAAGGCTGAAGTCTGGTCCATTGTTTCTCAGAGTTTGATCTCCAGCTGTTGTTGGACTACAACTCGTGTGATCCCTGACTATTGGTCCTGCTAGCTAGGGATGATGGGAGTTGTAGTCCAACAACAGCAGCTGTCCCTGTGTTTTTGTCAGCAGAAGTTAGCAGGTAAAGCTTTTTGTTGCATATAGATAAAAATTGTTACCATTTAATCGCCTCAGATCTTTATTAAAGGTGCAACCAGGTATTCAAAAATGGTAATCCAATTTAATGAGGAAAATAGGTTAAACCAAACAGGAAACTGCAATGTGTAATATGTAATATGTAAAAAGAGAAATAAGTCATCTTCATAGCAAGGAAATTCCTTTTTCCAAGTGAAAATGTTAATGGGCAGCTGGTTATGTTAAGTACCAGTAGCAAGAAGGTACTGGTATTTTAGAAAAAAGATTCCCCACCAAAAAATACATGCACATTTTTAGATCACCTTTTCTTAGTTTTCAAGTAGATATGCAAGTTTCTGTGAACACTTCTGCATGTACTGTATAGTTAGAAAATCTGAATGCTTGTTACATTATAACTATATAATATATTGCTATGGGCTGGAGTTGTCCCCTCCAAACTTGTGATTCTACAAGGTGTTCAAAAAGTAACTATACACCTACTATGTATTACATTGTCCATAGGTTTATAGTTACCTTTTGAACACCCTGTATAATTGTAAGATTGGGGTCTGCAGAAGAGGTCTGCTAAAATGTCTCTTTTCTTCAGTAAATAGCCTTGGCCTGTGCCACAGAAACTGAATTGCTGGACACACTTCTGGAAGATGACAGGCAGTGTAGTAAAACGTCAGCATATCTTTCTTCCTCCCTGGCTGGAAGTGCTGTCATCAGATTGTCAGAGTATAATAAACTCATAGTTTTCAAGAGGCACACAGAGTCAGAGAAAGAAGCTTGAGTACTAGATGGTAGGAGCTAACAAAAATTTGTGGGTTGGCTGCACCCCCCTCAAAATCCAATGGGAAGCAGTGAACTTTGGTATATCTGTTGGCATTCAAGCAGATTTCCACCTAAAGGCAGAAATATAACCCTAGAACCCAAAGAGACACCAAACCTTTAGTGGCTTCATTCCATGGAAACAACCCAGGGTATGAACTGAAACTGCTTGGAGACCAGGGTACATAAGAGCAAACTGGGCTTAAGTCCACAAAACCTTATGCCACGAGACATTTGTTAGTCTTTAAGTTTCCACGAGAGGCTTTGATTTTGGGGGGTGCAAGAGACTCACACAATTACCCCTCTGGAAATATGTTCCTTGGCATTCCAGACGTTCCCAGTAGCATAATGCCTAGGTAGTGCCAACCAAACTGGAACTGAAACAAGAGAGAGGTGGTATCATGTTTCGGGGAATCCCAAGGTTTGCAGAACTACTATTTTTAACACACATACACTACATCACATCTTAATGAAGAATGAGCATTCTAAGTAGCCTGGAGTGCTAGAGAGTCAGTGGAACGGAGTGTCCCCAAAGTTTAGGTAGACTCTGAGATGGAGAACTCATGTTAGGACATGAGGATACACTGCAATGTTTGCTCTCTATTGCTGACAAATATCATGTCCTGTGATTTATTTTAAGGTTTCCTGTACAGTTAATGTGTTAAATAAAATGAAAAGAAAAAGGCAGGTGGAGGAAGTAGGTACCTGGAAACAGTGGCGTAGCGTGGGTTGTCAGCACCCGGGGCAAGGCAAGTAATTTGCGCCCCCTAGCCCGTGGATTTTATCACTCGAGTCTCTTCCACTCTCTCTCAGCTCCGCACCGCACCGCACCGCACACCTGGCACACCCCCCCTCCACTGTGGGCGGCGACCTGGCGGCTTGGATCGGATTTTCACAGCCAGCACTGCAGTGAGAGAGAGTGAGTGAGCCAGGTAGGGGCAGAGAGCTGTGAGTGCGAGCGTGCGCGCCCCCCAGATGTTGCACCCGGTGCGGCCGGCCCCCCCTGCACCCCCCACGCTACGCCACTTCCTGGAAAACTCTTAGAATGTATGAAAATAATATCCAACTTTTTACATTTCCAAACAGGCTTAAACCAAAATCTTCCCAGAGAGGTCCCATTGCTCTTAATGTGACAACTTCAGAACATATGAAAGAACTCTTTACTGTCTTGACCGTTATGATTTTATCACCCTGAGTAGCAGCATGAAGGAAGAATATAGCTGTGCTGTTTTTGTTATCATTACAGTTTTATTATATACATGTATGTTGTATATTTACCTCTTGTATATGTACAGGCATAACCATATTTTAAAAGTAAATAAATAAATATTGGACATGTACGGAACTCTTCAGTTATTGCAACATAGACATATTGAAGGTGATTCCACACCATCTAATATGCAGCTTTGGTTTCCTTCACATATTAAAATGCCAGAGCTACACTTTTTTCTGCTTTAGGGCAGAAAAAGGGAGAGCGTGCTTTAAAAGAAAACAGGTTCTGTGTTAGACAAATATTGTAGATCAGCTCTGCTATCTTCTTAATCAGTTACAGCAGATAGTGTTTTTGTTTTTTTTAATTGTCAGCAGCAGTTGAAATTATATTTTCATTAGAAGCCAAACTACCACCAGCTAATTATGTCAGTGGTAAATCACTAGCACACACTGTCTATAATGGTCTCACTCAGGCATTCAATTAACTCTACTGCTTAATGAGCCATTTACGTGTCTCAAGGCTTATAACACTTATCTTGTGAGTAGGGTAGGCTGATACTGAAATTTACCACGTGACCTTGCTGAATGCCTTGTTTTGCACTGGCTTTCAGTTCCAAATCAATAAAGGTAGGCCTTTAAGGCTCTAGTTCTGTTGTTAACACTTACTTGGAAGTTAACCTCTTTAAGCAAATTGACTTGGGGTTTGAGTCAAAGAAGTACTCACTGAACTGGACTTCTGAGTAAACATGGAAAGTATTGTGTTGCGAAAAGTCAAGGTAAGGTGTATGCGCAGCACAGCTTTTAAGGCAATATTGTAGGATCTACCTGCCAGCATTAGCATAAATAACTTCCCATCTATCTAATGTGATGCATTAATATACAGCTTTTGAATCATGGTGCCGGAGGAGACTCTTGAGAGTCCCATGGACTGCAAGAAGATCAAACCTATCCATTCTTAAAGAAATCAGCCCTGAGTGCTCACTGGAAGGACAGATCCTGAAGCTGAGCCGCCAATACTTTGGCCACCTCATGAGAAGAGAAGACTCCCGGAAAACACCCTGATGTTGGGAAAGATGGAGGGCACAAGGAGAAGGGGATTGCAGAGGACGAGATGGTTGGATAGTGTTCTCGAAGCTACCAGCATGAGTTTGACCAAACTGCGGGAGACAGTGGAAGACAGGAGTGCCTGGCGTGCTCTGGTCCATGGGGTCATGAAGAATTGGACACCACTAAACAACAACAATATAAAGCCAGAAGGAAGAAAAGTGGAGAAAGCAGGAAAAGTGTTTCCTGGGCACTGTCGTATTACGAGGAGGCACCTCAAGAGTGATTTGTTAACAAGGTGCTTGGGATATTTCCTGCAGACACAGGACCAGGTCAGATGTAATGGTGTGCTCTAGACAATTCCCTGCCAGGCTGTCACTTCTTTCACTTAGGGCTGGCAGCAAATCCTCTCATCAGGCTTGTCCACTATTTATTTATTTCCTATCTTGCTCCCCCCCCCAAAAAAAAAGGTCCAGTTTGTGTGCTTCCCACAGGCATCTGGTCAGCGAATGTGAGAACAGGATGCTGGACTAAATGGGTCTATTGGTCCTTTCAGAATAGGTCATCCACTTAATTCCTGGACTCTAAGCATAGCATATGGAGATAGAGGAACAGAATGTAACCTACTGACCACAACTGAGGTGCGGAGTCTTTTCAGTTCTTGTGTAAACAGGCGCAACACAACTGGGAAGTAATTATTCTGTGTGTAACATCAAAGCCTCTCTTTGGGTCAGTAAGACATTTTTCATTTGGATTTGCTTTCCATCCTCTGTTCTCACGCTTTGTTCTAATGTGCTAACATCTTCTGACAAGTACATCGGCATTCATTTTCTGATCAAAAAGTGAATGAAAAGGTCAGTTATGCCCAACAGTGAAATAGCATACTGAAAAATTGATAGGTCAGGAATCCAGACTGACTTGTTTCTACAATTTTGACACTGGCCAATGTCAACTGAGAATTCTGAGTGAGTGCTTGGGGGGACTGGCAGAATACAGGTTTTTTTGGGGGGGTTTTCTTTTTTTGCCCTTTTGAAATTGGGAGGAATATTGCTCATGATGATTTATGGGGAAGGGAAGAGAAAGCTGGATCAAGGTTGCCATTTATTTATTTTTAGTGTCCTGCCT